GAATTTAGATCGAGACTAATGTCGATTACATGCATAAACTAATCACATAGTCAACGTGACCTTAACGCTTCCGCCATACATATGGTAATTTGCGATTTAATTGAAAAATACGTAAAACCGAAAATCACGAAACATGCTTATACTTCATTTCACAAAATCGAAACATGTAATCACATATTACTCATGCTCGCAAATTAATAATCATACAAACATGTTCGAATCGAATTACGAAAGTTCCGATTTAATTACCTCTTGTAGCGTGCGATTTCGACGAATCGAAATCCTAGAACGAGTCACGTACAAGCTGCTAATTTCCAATCCACGGGGCTGCAACTCACGGCTGGACCAAGCTGATCCAGCAAGCGACGAACGGCGGTGAACGGCAGCAGCAGCGGCGGCGCGTGGCAGCGGCAGCGGCGGCGCGTGAGCAGCGTATCGGCGCGTGCGGCGGTGCGTGGATTTGTCGGGGCAGCAGCTCCTCTCCAATTAGGTTTCACCTCGTATTTTCGACCCACTCGAACTACAGCACTAGATGTAAACGAGTTAGACAACAACAAGAATAAAACGAAGGAAACGAGAGAAGAAAAACCGGCGGTTTTCCGGCGGTGGTCGGCGGTGGCGCGCCGGTGGAGCAACGGCCGAAGAGGGGAGCGGCTAGGGCTTGAGCGGCTAGGGTTTGGTGCTGAAAATCTGATCTCAAACTCTTGTTTGAGGTTTATTTGCTCATGAAACTTTCAGATTATGTTTGTATAATGTTGATTTTTTTTTTTCATTTTACGATAACGGGTTAAATACATCGGGTAGATCATTACTATTCATGTACACATAAAGAAACACACACCCATATTGATATGTGTAATTCAACAGTAAATATTCACCCGGTATATAGTCTTCTCTGGGCGTATAAAAATAACCCAATACAGAAATGTTTCCAGAAGGAAGGCAGTGTGGGACATTTAAGTGGGGGCTAAGTTTCTCATATAATAATTAAAATATACCAATCGTTAAACTAAATAAGGAAATGTTGCTAAATTTTTTTATATTATAGATTAATGTAAACTATTAATAAATAGATACGTCTGAACAAAATACAATCGTTAGGATTAATTCGTAGACACTAATTTCAACAATCGAAGCTATATTAAATTTCAACAAACCGAATCATTTTCAAACATTAAAAAAAAACCCTAAATACATTTAGAATATAAAATAATGAAATTTATTAAGATTATTAAACAAAATTCTAAGAAAAACATAAGTAAGAGTGAGATAGAGAGATTGAGAATTTGATGATCACCTTTGAGAATATTATTTGTGTTTGTTATAAATCAATGTGATTGTATGAAGACGAAGAGAAGATAGAATAAAAAGGGAAGAAATTATGGGTAGTTGGCACTTGACACCCTTAAATTGAAGAAAAAAGAAGTTGTATATAGTTCAAATGTAGCATCGGAAATGTTTTTCGCGACACTTTAAAAACCGTCGGAATGGTCATGATTTTCTTTTTATTTCTTTCCCCAACATGATGAATTTGAGTTGAATGTTTACAAATTACACAACGGTCAATATTCTGACATGCTAGAAAATGAATGGCTATTCTCTAACAAGCTAGAAAATGTTTACGAATCCATTTTCTTTAGCTCAAAATTACAAAATTCCATCCATAAATTCTATCACTACTAGAAAAACTGCTTAACGTGACGCCCTAAACCATCACCAAAACCGGACTATTGCGACGCTTGACATATAGTGACGCCTCCATGAAGCGTCACTTAGGTGGCCGTGGCAATAGGTTATAATGACGGCTTTAGCAGCGTCCTTAAAACAATGTAATAATGACCCTCTAAGCTGTCTCTAAATCGGCCTTTCCTGACGCATTTCTGTGTCAGGACACGATCCGTAATTATCTTTATTGGGTGATGAAAATATGACGCCCCCAAACGTCATAAAAAGTATTTAGTGACCATTTATGCTGTCACGAGAGCTTTAATATTATGATGTTCTATTTGTCTCCAAATGATATTTCTTGTAGCATTTCTACTCCCATAATCAAAATTACCTCACTGAACCTTTCTAGTTATTCACATCTAAAGTAAACAAAATAAAACAATCATATTTAGAGTAACTCATTCGAAAACTCTTCTATTTCATACAAACACACCAACTAAACATTACATAATAATTTAAGTGTGCACTAAATTTTTATACACTAAATCTCTAAAACATATATTTTAGCAACAAATAAAATTCAAAGCTGCTGATGTAGAACTCTAAAACAAACACAATTCACATTACTCTGCCCCAAAAAATACATCTGAGGTGTAAGTTCAACATTTTGGTAACTGAAAACTGAATACGAGAAGATGTTCTCGCCTCCTTGCAGACAAGCAAAATACACTCCGTGCAAATGTCATTCCTTTATGACCTGATACTCGTAGATACAAACATTAATAAAATTATCAGTAACAACGTGTAACTAAATGAAGATAGTAATCAATACCAATGTACGAATTCTATAAATTTCTCGAAATACATGTGTTAGCTCCTCACAACATGCATTTATAATATTTTAACCAAAAAAAATTCACCTTAAGGTGACCATATGTAATGAATTCAATAACCACAGTAATGGAGCAAACAAAACGTATATTAGTACAAGAAAATCAAGCACATGCCATCTATGTTCTTTATTTTCAGCTCTTGTCATCTAAACTTACAATTAATAATTATATATGAATTATACCAACATTATAACGCAAAATATTAAACAAAGTTAACACTTAACAAATAAGTCTTGAAAGAATTAAAGCTAAGGAAAATAACAACCATTTAAGCGACAAAGTAGCATTTAGATAAATGTATAGAAACAACAAAACAATTAAGTACATATTATACCTCATATTGTATATCAATTGCAGCAATTTATCCGATATACCTCTCTGATGTTGCTGCAAACACTGCTGATCCTTTTCAAAAGAGAGAAAACGACAAGTGGTTATAGTTGAACAACACCATAGAATTAGAAAAAATACAACACACAACTTACAATAAACTAAACATACAGATAAATGGACAATATTGTAAACCTTTCTTCATTGAGCAAATAAAGAACACTTAATCCATTTAAAAAATCACGTAGAGTGATTGCCAACTTGATTTCCCTGTTACATATGGTTAAGAAGATTACAGAACCAACAATCCATCAAAGTTTACGGTATGGTGATAAAGCTAATGAAAATTCATCCAATATAAAGAATTTTGACGGTATGGTGCATTCATACTTACAACATAAACCTCAAGTATTCAGGATTCAAACAACATACACATTTTTAGACCCTAATTTCAATACCAAAAACTGTCATTAATTAAAAGGGGGAAAAACAGAATCCAATTTCAATGTACATAAACAAGAATCTTTCTCTTAATTCTATCAAAAAATAACTGAAAACCAATAAAAGAAAAAAAAAACCAAATTTCTCAAATTGAACCCATAGCCAAAAACACACAAAAAAAAGTCAATTGAGTAGTAATCAATTAGACGAATAGCTAAAAATAAAGGAAAATCAGTTTTCGGAAAAATGTGATATTACCTCAATGATGTCTCCACCAAAAAAATGTCTTCAAATATCCAATATAGAGGCAGAACCCAACAATATACAATTTATTTGTTGGGTAAGAAAGAAATTTTCGTCCGATTAAATCTGTAACTTTGTAAAAGCAAAAAAAAAAATAACAGTGCTAAAATTAAATTATTTGGCTACTGCTCAACAAAATACGGAGAGAATGGAAGGGGGTGGAGGAAGAAAAAACTTACCTGCGCCCACGATATGGAGAGAAGGGTTGGGGGTGGGAAGAACCGAAGAAGAAGAGAAATAAAGATTTAGGAAAGAAGGAAAGAGAAAAGTAATAGGGTTAGGAGATCTGCCCGGGAAAGATCAAATGTTTTGAAATAATTTTGTGGATTTTGGCCGCCAACTTATTTACTCTTTTGACGGCACTAAATAAGAGCTGTTAAGACGCGTCATAAGACTCGTCTCAATAAATGTCGTATTTTATGACAGCTTATTTAAAACCGTCTTTAAATATAATTTTTGGGAATTAAAATAAAAAAGAAAACATAAATACAAAAAATAACTCCACACTTTTAATGTAGGCGTCGCAATATGACAGTTATTGAGACGGATTTTAGTCAGTGTCATATTAAGGCATCTCGGCAGCGTCACAAAATGCTAGTTTTCTAGTAGTGTATCTTCAAGCAACATCAACGTATGGAGTACAATGTACATAATACTTGACAACTAAACGTATTATTTACCCTGTAAAACATAACAATAATTTTTGTTAGAAAAACTTCAAGAAAGAAAAACTAAAAATAAATAAATTATAATTTTTTTTTAAAATAAAAAAACTTATTAAAAGAAATTTAGTGTATGTTCCTGATTGCGCAAAACATCCATCACCGGTGGGCAGTCCGCCTTCAACCATGATGGCATTCCAAGTCTCGTGAAGCTAACGTTTGTTTAGCTATATTGCGAGTCCGAAATTGCGCTTCTTTGAAGGTCGTGAGATACGAATTAATTGCACCAACAAACTACCGCCTCAAGTTTAATGTGATCCCCATTGTGCACGACCCGGTTTCTCCTGTCCCAAAGCTTCCAACAAACGGTCGCGGCAAGAATAAAAAACTCTATTGTGAGAGTTCTTTGAAGATTATCGAACGATCAAATAGCAAACGGCATTTCGACTGACTGTCAAATGATTTTATCGGCCGGTGATATTTGTAATATTAATATGATTATATATTTTATATTTTAGGTGGATTAAAATAATAATTATCGAATTTCGTTGTTTTGGATTTAGTTCAACGATTTTTCTAAATTCTTTTGTATTAAAATTAGAATTTGTTTGCTTCTTAAAAGAATTGGTATTTTGAGAACAAATTTTAGAGGAACCCATTGAAAATTCCGTCAAAATTTCCCACCTCATGAGAGTATTACAATTAGGGATGGCAATAGGTACGGGTTTAGTGGGTCTTGGATCCGGAACCGACCCGTTTGAGGCGGGTCTGGGTCAGCTAAATGGTTATGGGTCGGGTAATGGGTTTAAGTTTCTAGAACCGGATGGTTCTAGGTCGGGTTACGGGTCCGAATCGACCCGGAACCGACCCGTATATATATATATATATATATATATATATATATATATATATATATAATTTCGGATTTCATTTATCAATCTATCAATTTCCATCTTGTCTATTCTCATTTACCTATTTTCACTGTTTTATTTTTCGAATCTCATTTCTCGTGAGTAATATTTATCACTTGTCGACCACCGTTAATTGTCTTGTATTTTGAGTTTTACTTATTATCGAAGTTAAATATAATTAATTGTAATTTTATTGTTCATATTATATCACTTGTGGAGATTTTTTAAAATATTGTATTTTAGTATTTAGATTATTTCGTAAAAATATACAAGCAAAATGTTATGAAAGTTAAAAAATATTAAACTTTTTGTATGTTAATGGGTCTAGCGGGTCTGGTGGGTTAGAACTTTTAGTTAGGGTCTGGGTTGAGGCGGGTCGAGGCGGGTCTTGGATTTATATATTTTTCATGGGTAAGGTCTTGGGTTTAGGTAAACCCGGCCCAGAACCGACCCGTTGCCATCCCTAATTACAATTAACCCTCTCCCCTCATGAAAAAAATATTATTACGATTAGCCCATGATGGTAAAAGTGGTATATTTTGAGGAATATTCCACTTAATCAAAAAGATTACATAAGGGGTATTATGTAAGAGTTAAGACGACAACAAATTTTAAGGATTTTTGGTAATTTGGGACAGGTGAGGATTTTCTTGTAATTTGACCTTAGTTTAGGGGTTTCTCATAATTTATCCAAAAAAGTTTAATAAAAAATACGCAAAAAAAATTAAGGGAGGGTAGTTATAAATTATTATTGGTCGATATTGTTAAGATTTTTTCAATGTTGTGGATGACTACGATCACTCCCACCATTATCACACCATAATACATTCTGCTAACTCTATTAAAAGACTTGTAGCTCATGACCTTTGAATATTTCTAGTGTTATATATGGAGCACAATGTAATGCGTTCGTATATTTAAAAGAAGTAGAGAATAATACATTTATTTTCTCTATATTATTCCCTAAATCTTTTGTTGATATAATTAATAACAATCTGCGTAAACGAAAAATACTTACTTGTTTGTTGAAAAGAGGAATTGTGAAAAACACAAAGAACGATCGAGGCTTGCCAAAGCAATTCCCTTAAGATAATATTTCCGGGCCGTCAACGGTGCACAGTCTCTTCCCGGTAGTCTCCCAATGTACAACGATCGGTTGTCAAATATTTGCACAAATATTCGACCCACGGCGAACTTGAACAACGAACGGAACTTTGACGAAGAAAAAAGCAAAATATGAAGAACTATCTCTCAATCGCAGATTAAATTCAGTACATAATTGGCCCGATTCTCTCTTTATCTATAGGCGATAGAGATCCATTCATAGAGGGTTGCAATGGTTGGAAGAAGAAGCAAAAGGTTGTGTCTGTTCGTTTTACCGAGTTCAAAAAACGTAGGAAAATTAATTGGTCATGGGCCAATTAATTAAATATTTGGTTTGGGCCAAATATTTTATTATTTAAATTTTGGGTCAACTAATTTGACTAATTACTAAATGTCCCCAAAAGTAATATTTGTGGACACCTAAACCCAAACTAGTCCTATCACTCGATCAGATCGAGAGCACATCTTTTGAACTTTAACCATTTAATCAAGACAATTTTCATTCACTTTACTTCATGATTTTGATCAAGTAAATAAATGAAAGTAATCTTTACATAATTTAATTAATATTACTCAATATTAATTATTGGAAATCATGAAAGTTCCAACAATCCCCCACATGAATAAAATTGTTCTTCCAATCTTATCGCATAAGATCTATTTGTCAAAATTCCTTAGTGAATAGTGCAGCATCGGGATAGGTGAAATATTTCATCTTGAACCTTCCCTAGTTAAAGCTTATCGGATTCACTTAGCCAATCGGTGAATTATTTCATCTTGAACCGTCGGCTGTTTGTGTAAACCAAGACAATAAACTTAACACCATACTAAACGAACTTGTTCAAGTTCTCGGTTGTGTTCGTTTTGGCCCTAAACATCCTCGAGTTTTGCGACTGCCTTAGAGAATTCCAGCATTTAAATATTTTCAACGAGCCCAGCTCACACTGAAGAAAATAAAAATGATAAATGCAGTTGGTGGAAATGTTGAACTTAATTAGGAAAAAAATTGCATGTAATTGCAGCATAATCTTTTTGCCTCTTCAGGGGCATCTCAAAGGAAAAATTTATGACTAAACCTAACCTTCTATATTTTCCATATTAGGGGTGTATATCAAACCACCCCATTAAACGTTTTTTTTTTCTAAACTGCTTATTAATACTTAAATTTATTAGAGTTCTTTGTTTTGCTATCATGCATTCCCATCCCATGTTTTATAAGTAAACGAGTAGCATTTGACAATATTGATGTATCCTGGAAAAGTAAACTTATTGTTCTTGACGTGCACACATAATTATTTCGTTTAGAATTTCTAGAATTATTAAGATGTTTTTCCCTTAAATTAAAAAAAATATATGAATAGTTCAATCCTCCACTTTTTTTTTCTTTTTTTTTTTTTTACTTTTTTCTAAATTCCCATATTCAAACTTTTCTTATCAAGAGATAAAAATAAAAAGTACGTTACCTTCATAGTTTAGGGATAAAAGAGGAAACAAAATACAATTTTATTCGAGCTTTATTCTATTGTTTAGTATCTTCAATAAATAATAATTAGCTCCTTAATTAGAGAGTAGTTACAGCTAATTCTTGTATGTAAGTATTCGAAATTAAAAGCCACTACATTCAATTAATTTGTGTTATATTTGT